TCTCCCTTCCTCTCTGAACTCAATAAAAAAATATATATTTAAAAAATAAATTAAATAAAGGTGATTACATTAAATAAATAAATGGAAAACAAAAATGTTTGACAACTTTTCTTCTCCCTTGTTTTTCTTTTTTCTCCCCCTCCTACCCCCCCTCCCCCCAATAAGGCTATCTGAATGGCACCTGGAGAATTTTGCTGTTTACGACTGTGTAAACATTTTGGAGATTATGAAGAATTATTAATCTATTTTGGAAATGAATGTAAAAATTAATCTTGAATTCACTGTAAATAATGCACAATGGGATTTCAAAATTGTATGAGTCTTTGAAAGTTCTCAAACTCAAGAAAAAAAGTTTGGCGTATTATCCATTTTTCTCACAAGTTCAAAGTGTAGTGACAAGATTTCTTCATTTTCCCCAAGAGAAAAAGTTAAAGTGGAAGGTGAATACTGAAAATATTAATAATATGAAAGGCTGGCCCAAGAGCAGAGAAACAATTTGATAATAAAGAACTGGATTGAAAGCACAACCAAACAGTTCATTAAAGTTGCATGGTTCCATTCTCATGATCATTCAGATCTCTCTCATGTTTTCATACATCTGGATAACACATGTACCTAACACAAATCCCCATTTTCTTTTACCTTGGCTATGTTCTCTCTTAGGAAAATTAACTCTACTTAATTCACAAAATAATATCCATTATAGCCTTTAAAGCTTAGAGGCGAATTAAAACTTTGTTTGGGAAAATGTATACTACTTTATAATGTAAGACATTTTATGAGATAAATGAGCTCTTGTTATTACACAAGCCAACAAAAGAGTGAGAAGTGATTTTCAGCCCCAAAGAAATCTGAAAACCTCTTAACCAGATGTACACAGCGAACAAATCATATTGCATTTTCACCAAAGGACTGGGAAATCCTTAGCGATGAATATAAACTTGGCAGTTTGTACTGCCCATTAGGAAACAATGACCAATGCCCCAGCTAGAAGAGCAGCCCTTTGACCTTAACACAATGTGAGAATAAAGCATCTTCAAAACAAATCATGCATATTTCTTTTAGTTAGAGGTATGACTCCCTAATCAATGAAGCAAAGCTCTAACACTAAACTAGAGGTAGGAAACAGTTTTATTATAGATGAATAAAGTTAGATTAATTTTTAGATACTTTTTAATATATTCCAGAGCTTCACTCCAACACTGCCCTTGGTGAACATGCTTTCTTTGCACATAATTAACTGCCTTCAAATAAAGAGAGAAACAAAAATGCAAACAAAAAAACTTTCTGTCAAAACAGATTTATTTATTAATCTCTGACGCCCCCCTATCCTTACCCTACACAAGCATTACTATAATCAATGGTATACTACACTTTGTGAGGAGATAAAAGGGCTAGGTGGGCAGGGACAGTACCAAGGAGGGAGGAAGTAGAATCAGGAATGGAACGAACTGGCAGGAGTTACTAAGGCAACCCAGCTGGGCAGGGAAAGAAGAGCATACATGTAAGGAAAATGTGAGCTTTAAAATGTTGCTAAAACAGGCAGCTTGCAAATAACCAGTCTCAAGGAAATGAGGCATATAATCAATCCCAAGGATGTTGCTAAGGCAGAATTCTTTGAAAGGACCAATCAGGAGCTAGCAACGCATGTATCTACCCTTAGACAAGGAAGCACACTCTCCTCTCTCTCTGGTGCACTGGGTTCCTGGTTCTCCTATGGCAGGGGATATGCTCCCCTGCGTGCTGGGGTCCAGCCCCAGCAGGTCCAGGGGTTCCCAAAGGTGTGGACGGAGTCAACGAAGAAGGAATGACACAGAGACATCGTTCAGTTGATCAGCATAGTGAGGTTCTTTTGCCAGGTTCGGTTCTTTATTGTCCTGTTACATCTGTATTTATACCAGTTGATTTTAATCCTATCCATTCTATTCCAAAGGTTAGGGCGTTTGCTAATCTAGTTCTGTTGAGTTTAATCCTGTCTAGGTTAATCTCTGTGTTCCATTATAAGGGCTATTCCAAGGTTACTGCTCTACTGATAAGATACAAGGAAGTTTCTGAAGGAGATTATCCTACCCAGTAAAGGTTATGTCCTCCCAGCCTCGCTGCTTGCCTTCCCTGGGACTTCCCTGTGTCAGTGAGTCTCCAGGGGTATAGGCTTTGGTGCTTTCCCTGGTGGGCAGACCCCTGGGGATGTGGGCCCAACAAGTCCCAAATTTATTGCCAACAGTCTTAGTCCAAGTTCTTCATAAGTAGTACATGGTATTTCTGTAACACTAGGGGGT